ATTAAAATTCATTAAATTATAAAAATTATTGCATTAGGTGTATTAAAAAAAAAAGGTCTGTAATGTGTGTTTTTAAAATAAAAATAAAATACTCTCTAAATTCTTTTGAGTGCCATCTCAAAGAGAGTGAAAATACAGCTATTTTTAGAAAAGAGTGAAAATATTTTACTTCTTGAAAAAGAGTGAAATCTCATGTTAAAAAGGAATGAAACATTTCATTCCCTTTTTGGAATAAAACCGCAGTGAATGAGATTTTCTAACCTAACAACTTTAATATCTTGCTTCGCGAGGCAGAGTAACGTTTTTTGTTCGTTTCGTGCAAAAACACGTCAAATGAACCTAGTTTCATCAAGATTGGACGTGAGAGGAAAAAACTGAACATTTATTACTGAGATAGATCTGTTTAAAGAAGTAAATAATGCCATTATTTCTTAAAAAGTGAAATGTTTTCACTCTTTTTCAAAAGTAGCTGTATTTTCACTCTTTTAAAGTGAGATTTCAAGAAATTTAGAAAGTAGGTATTATAAAAGTCGTCATTAAATAAGTCATATAGCTCCATCCCGAGGTTAGTCTACTAGCCCCATCCATTAATTTTCTAAAAATAACAGTATACGATAACAAAGCAGATAAACAAAAATAATCTGTTGGACTTCATTAAACTTACTATCTGAACAAAAATCAAATATCTCAGATACTATGTGTGATTGCAAAACAAAATTTTAAGAATAAAAACGTTTACTTACATGTACAATTTTGTTTAATTATAACCTAACCTCTGTCACAGATACATCCATACGGAAATATCACAGCAGACTGAGTGGCGTGACAGTAGCTATTGAGTGTTGCGTGCTCCGATGTATAGCTGTGTTCAGCAGAAAAAGCAGCTTTGCAACTGTTGTAAAATTCTTGAATATAATTGATTAATATATTTAAATTCAGTGACAAACTAAGAGAAAGACCAATCATATTAAAGAATTTCACAACAGTTGCAAAGCTGCTTTTTTTGCTGAACACAATTATTTACGCTTGTCTTGCGTGTTCTTTTTCCCCTTTTAATAACGTAGTCCCGATTAGTCTATCTACTCCTATAATCTACTAGCTCCGATCTCCAGTTTCCCCTACGTAATGAAAATGAACTTTATTGTATTGTTGCGAAAAGCTCTTGACATCAACTATTAGAATCAAAAAGCTCTGGAACCAAAAACAAGGTATCCCCTGGTGAACATTTTTCTCAAAATTTTTCATATAATTTTTCAGAATTTCTATATAATTTTATAATTTTCTCGCATTTTTTATATGAATTGGAACATTTCTCAGAAAATCTACATCTTTTCTCAGAATTTTTGTTATGAATGTTAATTATAAAATATTGTAAGATTTCTAAGATTTTTTGTAAGTATAACTTCTGATGAAATGCTATAGAATCTAAAAATTATGGAATGTGAAATTTCAAAATATTTCAGAATTCACTTGTATAAAAAATTCTGAGAAAAATTTTCACTGGGATCCCATTTAAAAAAATCGATGTAATCTTGGCGATGTCTGCCAAGTCAAACAGATGTAATCAATAAATAGATCTTTTTAAACTCTATTCAAGACAACTTTTGTCTGAATTATTATTCCCAAAAATGTTTTGTTTTCGAGATATTTCGCCGCGCCCTTTTACTTATTCTGTATACGCTGACATATCGCAAGAATAAGTAAATTAAAAGAATAAACGAATTAGAAAAGGTTGAAGCTAAAATCGAAAAATTAAAATACAAAAATAATTAATATCGTTGGGAATAAGAAAGGAAATAAGGATATTAATTCAGTCGTGCAGTACCAATATTCTAAGTTTTTTTAGTGCATCTTTGGCTAGTCTCTCGAAGAAAATTAAATTTGAGAAATGGAGTTGTAGTATAAATTGAATTTAATAAAAAGAGAGAAATTCGGTCTTCAAGTAAATTTCGAAATTGCTAAATTCGATTGATTTATCAAAGTATAAACGTTGAACTATCCATAACAATGAAATAGTTTAATTTATATTTATTTATATTTATTTATTAATAAAGTTGAAAATTTTTTGAAAATTTAAACAAAAGAAAACGTTACAATTACATTAGATTTTTTTATATGACGTCACAGGATTGTTTCGTCTTCGCGCAAGTCTTTCGTTTTTATTTGTTATTACGCATTGACAGTCCCGTAGTATTTTTTAACGAAATTTTCGAAGCGCATAGGGCCTGTTTGTACCACCGTTACTTTGATTTTAAGCCTTAAAACTCTTCATTTTTTTCTCTCTCAGCTTTAAAGAGAGAAAATGAAAGTTTCAGGCCTCGCTTAAAGTCAAAGTAACGTCAGTACAATCAGCTCTAAGAATGCCAAATATTTTAAAGCCATGTTTTGTGAAGGCTGACTCAACAAATCTGCTGCAAATTGATATGTTTATGATGTGCGAATACATAAAACAAAGTGATAAGTTTAACGCTGCTGAAGTTAATGGACTTTCTATAATAAGTCATTTAATCATAAAGCCATTTAATCAGAAGTCAGAACTTAAAAATTGACGACTGTGATTGATCAGTTTTTAGCTTCTGACTCCTGATTAATGACTAATGGCTTATTGTAGAAGATCCATAATCATTCAGCGCGCTTTTTTATAACGGGAATAGTCAGTGTACAAAGAACACCGTAGAATAAGATTGAAAATTTGAAAGGTTGAAAGATTATACCCCAAAATGCATTATTCAAGAATATTTTGAAACTTTCGTCTTGAGTAATTTAGATATTAATACATATGCCTATAAGAGATGAATTTGAATTACATCCCGTTCCTAATATATAACCGATCAAACATTGCAAATTTTTCGTATTTATCATGATTTACATTAAATATGATTGATTTTATACATTTAGATTCAGTAAGAATCAACTAACCCGATAAAAAATGTTTCATGCGTGAATATGAAAATAATTAAAAGGGTAATTTTTATAGTATTTGTTCTAGAAAAAAATCATGTTTGAAAAAATGTAAAAAAATTACTTATGTATAATTATATCTAAAATTATGCATAATAGTGTATGAGCAGTTGTTTTACATTTTTCCAAACTTGTTTTTTTTTTAAACAATGCGAAAATTATCCCTTTAATTATTTTTAATGTTTTCATATACTATTATTATTTCTATTACACTAAAAAATAATTTTACAAAAGGAAAAGAGATGTATGAACATGTATGGATATATTTTGTATATGATTATACATGTTTATGAATGTTTGATATTTATGAATGTTTATACATATTTATGGATGAAATTTTTTACCGGAAAGGGCAAAACCAATCCATATTAAAGAATTTTAAAACAGTTGCAAAGCTATTTTTTCTATTGAACGCAACCAGTATAGTCATTTTTGCTGTGATGCGTCACGAATTTTCATATAGCCTTGAAATCGCATTCAAGAAGTTCATGAAAAAATCTCGAATAGTTATAATAAATTCGTGAGGAAGCACGTGTAACAACATCGCAAATATTTATCGCACAATATTAAAGTTTGAGTCAATAAAAAAATCTTGATTTTATACATTTTGTCAAGAACTGATTATCGATCACGTAACTTTTTCTCTAGAATGGAAACGTGAAAAGTGAAAATTGTATGCGTATGTACATATACATTGTATGTATATACACATATAAAATAGAAAAAATTTTCATTTTTCATGTTTTCGCCCCAAGAAAAAAGTTATATGATCGATATCCTAAAATCGTGATCAGACTATGTATTGGAGATTGAGATTGAGATTAAGATTGACGTTCGACCAATGAGAACAAAGCAGGTCGATATTGAGATTGCAGATTGAACTAACCTCATCAAATGCGTATGTACAAAATAATAAGTTATAAAGGGTTACAAGAAGTACAAACACACCACAATTAAAATGTGAGTGCAATTAAATGCGTATTCAATAATTTTTGTTATGTGCGATTCTAGCTATCCGATATTCTTATTAATCTCAATCTAATTTCCAATGCTGTTGGATACAATTCATACTGTGATCGAGCAATCTTCAATTTTAATCTCAATCTCAATTTCCAATGCATAACTGCTCATGGCTTAAGAAATGTTCGGATTCCTACCCTGTAGGGGTATGTTTCGGATGCTCCCTGAATGCAATAGGTCTGTTTTTATTGCTGCACTTTTCAAACTGGTACACGAAATGAAGTGAAACGTACAATATATTTGTTTTATTTCAACTTATGCACCGATTCAGAGTGCAATAAAAAACAGATCTAATGTCATCCTTATTTAACGTTCGATAAACAATAAGGATAGAGTGATATCTGGATAGCATTTGATGAGAATCTGAACATAGCCCTGAGGAAATCTAGTATGGCAACTTTCCGAGCACTTTCAAGTTCACAGTGCAATTACCATCACATGGATCTGGTATATCTCGTTCCTCATTAAGAGAAAGATTACGCCTTTCTTGTCGTATCTTCGCGAGAGTCATTTTACATTTTTCTTTTTTTGCTTTACTTTTGATGTATCTTCCTTTATAACGCAGCTGTGCGGACATTTTTCTTTCGTATAAATATTTTGCCAATAACCTTTTGTGCCTACATTCATCTGCTCCAAAAATGTGACGTTGTCACGATCTTCTTCTACGTAATACGGAAGTTTTCTTTTTTTTTCTTAAATTTATTTATGATTTAATATCATAAATATATAAAATACTTTTTTTTTAGATTTTACATAACGATATTTGCTTGAAATTTAGAGATATGTTTGAGTTTGTTGTTGACTTGCGTAATCGGAGTATAAATACCTTAAAGCATAATATCGTCAAATAAACATCATGTGATGGAAGTTTATAATATTTAAACGGTTATTGATTTGTTTCAAAAGACAAAGAAATACTGAAGAGTCAAGACTTTAAAGATAGATTTTACTTCTACATTAAACAAGAGCGCGCCCCGGGAAAAAAATATTTTATATATAATTATATAAAATTATATATAATTCTATATAATTATATATAAAATATAATTATATATAATTATATATAAAATCTGCTCAATTATATACAATTACGTAAAATTATATATATTTTTATATAATTTTACATAATTATATTTACAATATTTTTTCTCGGGGCGTTACGAAGAACGATTTTTCGATGGTCAATCCCGGGCGAGATATTTTTTGCGACAAGATTATTTACAAATTTTAATATGTTATTCAGCATTAAAATTTTTATAAGATGTCTATGAGCATCGAATTATTAAACTGCTAGGCAATTTAATTTGTGATGTTATTACTGCAATTGAATCGGGTTTGCGTTTCAAGGCCGAAAAATCAATTCGGTAGACAATTAAAATAATTGACACTTAAGATCCAGCTTGACCGAGAGAAAAAAACTCTCTCTTGTTAATTTTTATATCTTAATTTTTTAGATATAACAAAAAAAATGCGAATCTATATTTTTTTTCAGATACAAAAAATTACTTGTTACGTATAATTTCATACAAATTCAATATTTTCATTTTTTTGACACATCTTCGAATAAATCTTCGAGATCGATTCGAGAAAAAAAAATAAATGCAATGGAAGAGAAGAAATCAGATAACGAGGACAACGCAACAAAGAAAGAAGAGAGGAGTCCGAACTATTCCGATAACGCGCGAGCAAGAAAAGTGATTCGTTACTCCTAATTGGGAGGGAGTCCGCTGAAAGGAACAGGAGATTTTCACGAATGGACGCCATTTGTAAAGTAATGTCGTGGTGTAAGATAGTATGTATGAGACAGGCAAACTGAACGAGGCTCCGGATGACTTGGTGCTCGGTTCGCGGATTAAAAATGACTAACAATCCAGGTTCGTTTAAGGAGCAAGAACATCATTCTATTTGTGAATCTACAAGTTAAATGCTAGTACAGAAAAGACTTCATACAGAAGGCATACTATTCGTGATTTCTGTACGAAAGCGTATCCTCTGCTCTGCCCGGAGAGAATATGAGCAAATTTATCATCGCATGGTACTGTGACCCTTCATGATAGATAAGAAAACGAAAAAGAAAAAAGATAGGCAAATAAAAACGAAACAATTAAACGTACTCGTTAACTGAGCTACAACGCTCGTTTCTCCAGTCTGCTGTTTTATCTGATTCTGTTTGTTGACATTTATACGATAGTAATTTATCTGCTCGCCAATGGAGTTTATATGATAATGCCTGACTGGTGGAAAAATTGATGGAATAGCACCTTTTCTCAACTTCGGTATCTTACGTGGCACCAAAAAATCTTCACTACCCTCTATCTTAAAAGTATCTACTCGGATAACGTCATCTTTTTGAAAATGTAATTCGCAGACGCGATTTTTTTTGGTAAATTTATTGATGCCTTTTTTAGCAATTCCACTATCCTTCCATTTGTTGAATATTTCATCCGAGTAAGGTGTAAAAAGGCTCTTCTTCGTTAATCCACTTTTGGTGGGGCAATCACGTATCCAACACGACATTTTACGATCTAAATGCACAGGTGAATGAACTGAGATATGTGTGACCAGACTAAACGGGTAAGGTTAATTACAAATGGCGCCCAACTATACCACCTATTCCCTTCAACAGACTCCTCCCCTCTCCAATTAGGGCTAACAAAAAGAGCTGCCATATTAAAAAAATCTAAATTACTAAGACAATAATTTAGACTTTTTGATGTAGCAATATTGTTTGCAAACAAAATCCAACGAGAAGAAACCCCGACGAAGAAGTACTTTCATTAATGTATTTTTTAATGCTCATGTGAAATAAATAACATTCTTTCATGTAAAACGCTACGAATTAATTCCAACACCTAATATAAAACTAGATTAAATATACAATTTTTTTTTAAAAAGTTGCTTACAATGTCATTTTTTAAATAAAATTAAGAGTAATTAATAGTTGTATAAAATAATTAATCATTTTTATTTAATATAAAATACATATTATTGAACAACATAATTAAAAACTTTATATGTAATATGTAACATTCGTTATAAATACTTTGTTAAATCATTTAATATACTTAACGATGTTAAAATAAAAAAACGTTTAATATTTTTTTAAAATAAAATATATATCTTTGAACGAATATAAGAAAAACATTACTAATTAATTAATAAAAGTATAATTTACTAAAATAATTTCATTTTATTAATTGGAGAATTGAATATGTAATATCCAGTTTTACTTGTTAACTGAATAGTCTAGACAAGATTCCTAAAAACAAGGTTGATAAGCTTATAGGCAATTCTAAGCAGAATCGTCTGGTTCGTAACTTGTTCTCATAAAATTTGTTGTAAGCATTCACAAGTTCTTACAAATCTTACGAGAACAACACTTTCATCTCACAAAGTTCGGACCTTCTCTCTCACTTCATGGAATTCAATATGCTCTTCAGAATGAAGAGAAAACTAAAATGAAGGAATAATGAATTACTCAGAAATGGAGAAACTCGATTACACGGACTGCGGTTGATGATTGCCAAGTATTCAACTCAACATGAACAGCTTGCAGCACTAAGAAATTAGGTACATTAAAATCAAAATATATTAAGATTGAAATTAAAGAAAAATGTAGGTTATTATAATGATAATTTTCAATATAAAACTGAGAATGAGAAATATTCTTTTATATATTAGGTAGTGAAAAATTCATTTCAAATCTACTGTATAAATTCAGCACACAATACATCAGGTCAGTTTTTTATTCCTGCACAAATATATTTTGTTTCACTTTAACTTAAATAGTATCCTTAAGTTCATGGAGAGCAGAAATAAAAAACAGACCTCTTATCTACTATTTACCCAGCTTCTTCAGGTAGATTTGCACTGTGGAAGCGGATTTGTGCAGAGTGGCGGCGAGTTCTTTAACGGTCATTTGCGGATTTTTGTGCATGATGTCCTTGAGAAGTGTTACATCAAATTTCTGAGGTCGGCCAGAGCGAGGAAGATCTTCTACATTGAAATCACCAGTTCTAAATTTTCGATACCACTTCCAAATTGTATGGAGAGTGACACAGGTTTTTCCAAAGACAGAGTACAGCTCAATCATAGTCTGCGAAGCTGTGAAGCCTTGCTTGAAGCAATACAGCATCAATTGGCGAAAATCTTTTTGGGATTTTATTTTTTTGTCCAATTTTGCTTCTTCTTCTTCTTCTTCTTTTTTATAGCTTGTAGTCTCGCTAACTGACTTTGCCAACATAGTTGCACTTAGGAGGACTTGTAATTGTGAGGTTTCTTTAGTAGGCATACTGATCCCAGACATCCCTGAGATCTGAGATTTATTGTCAAACCCAAAAATAGAGTTTCTAGAGTAAGAGTCGGTCAATATTTTGGGTGCGTTCTGTTTCATGCATGGACCGCATGGAATGCAGCGCACATCACATGTGCGCATTAACTCAGTTTTTTCCTTTGTGCATAGCGAAACGGAACTAAATGAAATGAAGATAAAAAATTCTAATGGGTGTATGGAATAATTATTATATTGCTGCTTTTTAAGAAATCTTGAAGTTTAAGGCTACAATCAAAACTTATGCATGGTGAATCAGAATCATTGAACCAGCTTTTTATCCTATGAGAAAATTATCGTCTGCATGTACGTTATAATCAATTAGGTATGAAGTCGATATTAATCCGGGTAAAAAATTCATATATAAATATAAATATATTTCATATATAAGAGTCGGTTTCACCGAGTTTAATCGTGATTAACTGCCAGCCGCAATTGGTAAATTCTACTAAACAGTAAACGCGATTGGCTAGTCAATCAAAGGTAACTGACATTGGTGAAACTGGCCTTAAATATAAATATATGTATAAATATACATAAAGATGCATGTAAATATATATGTATATGTACATGAAATATGTCCATACATACATGTTTGTACATCGTTTTTTTTTTTGTAAAATTACTGTTTAGTGTAATAAAAATCATAACAATAATAAAGACATTTAAAAAATTAAAAAGATAATTTTCCCATTATTTGTTTTAGAAGAAATCATGTTTGAAGAAATGTAAAAAAATCGCTGATCATTATACAAAATTATTATTAATATTATGCAAAATTACATTATGTATAAGTAATTTTTTTACGTTTCTCTAAATTTGACTTTTTCTAAAACAAACAATGCGAAAATTGTTTCTTTATTTTTGACGTTTTCTCATTATTATTGTTTTTATTACATTAAAAAGTAATAAAAAAGTATAAAATAAAAAGTACAAAATAAAAAGTGTCTTCTATTAGATAGAGTTTCTATTATATAAGCAGTTTTTATAATACTGTTTGCAATTTTGCAATAATTTTTTCGTAAGATAAGCAAAAATGAATGCCTGACAAAATGAACTCCAAAACTCACACAGTAGACAGTTAATGCTATGTATTGCTATTCTTTTTCTTTTACAGGAATTATCTGTATAAAATACCTACAAGTATATAAGATTTTTCAGAATTTTTTCACTTTGTTATAAAACATTTTTATTGAATTATATGCATACATTACTTTATGCTGTTCTACAAGATGCAAATATGTAACGTGATAGTTTTTTAAGAGTTTTCCTATATATGCACAATTGTTTTCAACTCCAGCAGTTATTTGACACTATAAAGCAATATAAATTAAGTTAGCTCTGTTTTACATGGCGGTTTATGCTGCACTCCAATTTTATGTTTAAAATCATATTATGAAAAAATTAAGAAAGAAAAAATAATATAAATAAAACTGATTTAAGAAACTACAAACATTTTAAACGATGTAACATCATATCAATAATATATCACTATTATTTAAACTAAGCAAATAGCAAAAAAAATTAATCGTAAGAATTCTATTCGCTTTCGTAGAGTTCGTTTTTAACTGATTTGGTATACAAACAAGCCACAAATGTATGAATTATGAGTTTGTACTTCTTCAATTAGTTAAACAGATTTTATTAATAAAGTACAATAGTTAATTTCTGGGTATCAATTATGAAACTTTTTTCCTAGGGTGAAAAGTAAAAAGTAAAAAATTTCTCCATTAACTTCAATGGTTAAAATTTTCACTTTCCATCTTAGGGATAAAGTTTCATAATTGGGCGCCTGAGAAATAAGGGAATGTCCCTTTAAGACTCACTTTCCTTTAATAATTATATATATATATATATTTATATATATAATTATATGTTTATATTTATACGTATTTATGTATGTTTATACATATATATATTTATGCATGACGAAATGTTTTATCGAAATACTTACTATCATTGTTACTGCTACGAATTCAGCATGGAATTGAGCAATCCGAATTCGGATATGTTTAATATCCACAATTCATCGTTTTTGTGAACATAAAGTTCTTTCATTTTAAAGAAATGTGATTTTTCACAGAATAATAACGTTATAAATACAATACAATAACAACACAAATATTGGGTCATCTAAAAAGTATCCGCGGTACTTTGTCACTAGATATATGATCATCAACACATCTAGTGACAAAAAACCGCGGATACTTTTTAGATGACCCAATAGTTAGCTACTTTTTTCCCGCCAACATAACCCTCGTACGTAAATGAATGATGGAATCGGAAAGGTGAACCCATGGTAGAAAGAATAAAAGATGAAACATTGCGCATAGTGACGATAGCAATACTGGAAATAACAGTATTGTTCGTTTTGTTTCACGGGAGCTGCTCGAAGATGTTTTAAATGAACCCATCGTACTAGAAATATTGGGTCATCTAAAAAGTATCCGCGGTTTTTGTCACTAGATGTGTGTTGATGGTCATATATCTAGTGACAAAGTATTTCTACAATCAGCCATAATCATAAATCAGAAGTCAGAAGTTGGAAATTGACGACAGTGATTGATCAATTTTTAGCTTCTGATTTCTGATTAATGGCTTATTGTAGAAGCTCATAAGGCTCATAATGCATAGTGCATAAAGGAATCAACCAATTGAAATTCTTCTTTTCTATGGAATGGGAGGAAAAGAAAGATTCTGATTAGTTGATTCGCTTATGCATTATGTGTTATGTAAGAGTCTGTGCTGCGACTCATAGGATTCACATTACGTACAACATTCGTCACACGACAACTGTATCTAGATCAATTCTGTATCTTGAAACAAGATGAAAATTATGTGAGCAAATTTACTAGGTGTTGACCAATGAAATTATCAATATTCTAGTAAATTCGTTCATTTTTATAATTTTCACCTCGAGAGATAAAACGAACAATGTTAACCAATCAAATGTTCCCCAATATAAACTTTCCTGTGTATAATAACGCTGGTTATACTGGAACAGCCAATCAAATGTTATCCAAATTCACTTTCCTATTGCACATTTACGAGAGTGCTTCACTGTATATTCTTTTCACCATGGGTGAAGTATTCTGCGCAGTAAACAGTGATCTAGTTTCCACCGAGGATTTAAATTGGATATCCAGAATGTAAGAACCAATCAATTACAATCGAGTATTCCCCTGTTACGGTCGAATGACTGTTAGTTGGTTAGTTCTTACATTCTGGGTATCGATTCTCTAACTTTTATCATGGTGAAAATGTGAGCTATCTTACATTGCGTGATTCCCTAACTTTCATTATGGTGCAATTGCAAGCAATCTCAGGAGAATTTGTTCGGCAAGAAATTTCTTTTCGATTGGTAAGATCCGAGAAAGAAAGGCTAAGAAATAGAGCGAGAGAGGAACCACAGCCGACTGAATCGACTGAATTGACAGTTTTAAGGTATATATTGGGTCATCTAAAAAGTATCCGCGGTACTTTGTCACTAGATATATGACCATCAACACACATCTAGTGACAAAGTACCGCGGATACTTTTTAGATGACTCAATATATACAATATATTCATAAATTCGAAATGTGTATAAAGCTACATTAATATGTATATAGATACAAATTCTAACTGACTCTTTTATTAAATAAAATTAAATATTGAATAGAAATATTGCGGTAGGACAAATAATGAATGAGATCCAAGAGTGGCACAGATAGATTTTGATCAAACTAAAATTTTTATCTCATATATGCTCCAATAAATTTATATAAATTACTTGTACATGTATACTTGTGCATGTTTACTTGAACGTGTATAGCCGGCCTAATGTAATATTAGGTGGTAAACTTAATTCCTGCCGCTCGCTACTAGAGTGTACTGGCTCCAACGCTGACGAGTTTCGACGATGAAGTCGTATGTCTTTTGTAGTTTAGACATCAGTGAAAGTGATTCAGTCCTCAGGTCTTCATAGGTTAGATTTCTCGATGCCAAAGTCGGCCAAAGAGATTTTCCAATTGATTGAAAATGCACCGCGATAAGCTGTTTTTCCGAAATATGCTTCTTCACTACTTCGATCTCAAGAAAACCGCAGCTGAAGCGCATCGCTTATTATCTAAAGTGTATGGTGATGAAACTTCATCGGAAACAACATATAAAGTTTGGTTTGAACGCTTCCGAAACGTGATTTTGACGTGAGAGACAGAGAACGTCTCGGATCGCCGAAAAAATTTGAAGATATCGAGCTGCAAGAATTGTTCGATGAGAGTCCAGATCAAACGGTTTTAGAGTTGTCGATTGCGTTAAATGTTACTTGAATGGCCGTTTCAAAACATTTGCATGCCTTGAGAAAAATTTATATGAAAGATGGCTATCACATGAGTTATCAAAAAATGCCATTTTGAATCATTTATCTATCGCGACTTCTTTGCTTGTCAGGCAAAGAAAAAAAGAGTTTTTTTGTGACGCATCGTGACTGGCGATAACAAATGGATTTATTTTGATAATCCCAAGCGGAGGAAATTAGGGGTGAGCTTCGGCCAACCATCCACTTCAACACCGAAGAAGAATATTCGCAGGTCTAAGACCTCTGCATTTGATGAGATCAGAAGAGTGTGCTGTATTATGAATTATTGCGTCTAAATGAAACTGTTACAGCTAATCATTATCAACGGCAATTACGTAAATTGAGTAAAGAATTGATGCAAAAAAGATCATCCGTAGCCAACAATCAACGCAAAGTCATTTTGTTGCACGATAGCACTCGACCGCATGTTACAGAAAGCAGACACTTTTACAATTTGAATGGGAAATCCTCTCGTATCCAGCGTATTCTCCAGACTTTGTCGGATCCATCTTTTCCCATCGATGCAACATGCACTTATGGACACATACTTCTCCAGTCATGAAGAAATCCAAAAATGAATGGATAAATGGATCGCTTCGAAAGAAATTCGCGTTTTACCGTCGTGAGATTGCCCTGTTGCTGGAGAGATAGGAAAAAGATAATAATAGAAAATGGAGGAAATTACTTTGATTAAGGTATTCATTCATCTTCCCTTTGAAACAAATCATTTTGGAGACGAAAAAACGGCAGGAATTAAATTTATTACCTAATGATAGAATGTGGATTCATAAATACTTGAAACAAATCTTTTCAATTGTATATTTTATTTTTTTATTGCATTTAAGATATGTATAAAGATTCAACTCCATTTTAGTTATCTCGTATATTATATTTTTTTTATCAAAAAATATTCTTTTTCAAAAAATTTTTGAAATACATATTTGGGATAATCAGACAAACCTTTGTGATATTAATTTTTTTCTGCTCAGAAATTGTGGATAAAAAAAACAAATGGAAAATATGCAAGTAAAAATAAAGAACAGTTAAACAGATAAACAGTTAAAAAATTGATATTTTATTAAAGTTAAGAGTTAAGTATAGAGACTGAAGGAAATATATTATAAATAAATAATAATAAAAAAAGATATAGATTCATTTCAATAAAAGTTATAACTTGAGAATATCTATAACACATTTACATAGAAAACGGTTAACGTACTATAAATGCAATAAAGGATTTTTTAATTAGCTAATTAGTAAAGTGCTTCAAAGCATTTGTAATAAGATTTTGACTGCATCAAGAGATCACAATAAAAGACAATTTTCTTAAAATATATAGAGATCCAGCTTCCCATTTTAAGGAAGTTCATGAAGTATTTTACACTTTTATTTTTGCCTTATTCCAGGTTATTCTGTCCTCATAAAATCGAATAACAATCTGAGGACACTTGGCATTGGCTTCATTGGCAGACACCATGTCGACTGCATCTGTTCCTTTCCTGCGCAAACAAAATTATTCTTACTCGTCAATCGGCTTCAATCGTTTTTAAATTACTCTCATTAGTTTAAATTCTTTTTTTGTATTTCCGAATGTACATTAAATGTTGAAATAAATATATCAACACAAATAAGTGAAGGTCTCATTTGGTCAAGGCGAAGTTTTATGCCTAAATACATAATTATGTGAATTTTTACAATTTCTAGTTTAAGCAAATTACATGCTGATGATTTATCGGCTTGACACATAATTCTAGAGTGGCTGAACTATATAATATCACAAGCAATTTAATATTATTGAAGTCAATGAGCATCTTTTAACACTGTTGCAAAAAAATTTATTGCAAAAAATATCACTTTAGGATTTTGGATTTCTCTCATTGTGTCCGGACACCTTATCAACTTGATCATCAAGGAATTCAAGTACAATATAAAATTATAATAAAATCAAAATAATATCAAATAGAAGTCATTTAACAAAAAATCAGAATGTCATTCGATGTACTTTTTACGACGATTGTATGATGAATTTTTGACATAACAATAATTTTCAAATGATTGTTTAGTTAAAAAATTAGTTAAAAATCATTATGTCGAAAATTTATCAAAAATATATCAAATGACATTATTATGATTTTTTTTTCAAAATGAGTTGAATTTAATGATTAAATTTTGATCTTACTATGATCTTGTATTTTTTAACTAAAAAAATCACTTAAAAATTATTGTTGTCAAGAATTCATCATTAAATCATCAAAAAGTGTATTGAATGACATCATTAATTAATATATATTAGGTGTTGGAATTAATTCGTAGCGTTTTTTAATGAAAGAATGTTATTTATTTCACATGAGCATTAAAAAATACATTAATGAAAGTACTTCCCATCACTTGTAAAACGCTACGAATTAATTCCAACACCTAATAATTTTTCCTAAAATGACTTTAACTTTCTGTCATCTTCATTGTATTATTCTGTGTTCTACCTGGACATAATAATAATAATAACACAAGTATACATAGGATTTATTACCTACCATTGTATCAAATACATCAGTTTTCCATTGTCATCTGCCGCACCAAGGATCTTATCTGCTTCCAATCCTCTTTTAAATCCCTGCTCTCTGCTGTTATCTTCCATTGTCTTCTTTTTGTTATTCTTATCAGCATATAAGTTTCTTTTAACTTTATAATTTCTTTGTAGAAATTTATTAGGTGCGCAACTAAGTTCTCGCTGTCATTTTGATGAAAATGCAACTTTATTGTGAAAAAATGGCTTGGAAATGGCTTGGCGGATAACTCCTAATACTGAAGCAAGCTCTTCTTGCGTTTGGCACGGATCCTCATCGAGCAATGCCTCCAATTCAGCGTCTTCGAAGGTTTTTGGCCTTCCTTCACGCGGACGGTCGTCAACATCGAAATCACCGTCTTTGAAGCGACGGAACCAATCTCGGCACGTTGTTTCACTTAGAGCAGCATCTCCGTAAACTTTTTGGAGCTCTCTATGCGCTTCAGCCGCCGTTTTCTTCGAATGAAAGAAGAAAATCAATACTTCCCGCATATGACGATTATTTGGCACAAAATCAGACATTTTCACACAACCAAAAGAATATGACGTAAAAACAAAATCACTAATGTTTCAAAGCGGTTTGTTTACCATGTGTCTAAGCTTGGTTCATGACGTTTAGGTTATGTCAGAATCGACCAGCACTTACTGCTGGAACCATCTGTTGACAAACAGCGGAAACTTAGTTGCGCACCTAATATCTTAATCTTGTTCAGCATATGGCACATATACAATATCGCTGAGAATAAGAAAGAAAATAAGAAAATTAATTTAATTATCGCAAAATTAAATGAATTAAGAAGAACAGAAACAAAATTTAAAAAATTAAAATTTTAATAATACACACAGTGAAAAAATGTATTAAATTTTAATAAAATATTTGTTTGAATAATACCAACTAAATATTTACTGAATATAAAGATACATTTGTTTAGTAGGACTATTACAAGGACTATTAATTAATTCAACTATCACTTTTTTTATTGAGTAAATATTTAGTTTAGTTGGTGTTATTATTTAAATAGTATATACTATTAGGTGTTGGAATTAATTCGTAGCGTTTTACAAGTGATGGGAAGTACTTTCATTAATGTATTTTTTAATACTCATGTGAAATAAATAACATTCTTTCATTAAAAACGCTACGAATTAATTCCAACACCTAATATTTAAATAAATATTTAAATTTAATACATTTTTTCATGAGGAAACACATAGAAGTGTCTTATTCTGGTTTTGATAAGTTCTTATTATGTTGTTTTGCAAATGAAAATAAGAGAGAGAGAGAGAGAGAGAGAGAGAGAAAGACGAATTTTTAAAAATATAAATCTCTTTTTAGGAGTTGAAACAATCATAAGAAAATATAAGATAATAAAAAAGTGCTTACTTGATGAATTTTCAGTTACACTAAATTTTCGGTTTTCAAACCGTTAATTTCGATGTAATTTATGCAAACTACATGCGTATATACGTGTCATCACGTTCTGTCACGTTTTACACTGACAAAATAGATTTTCATTCATTTTGATCCTTTTATTTATTTATAATAAATATTTGCAACAAAAAAAATTATCGCTGTCATGTACATAAAGTCAATTTGACGCAAAAGACATTTCATGATATAAAAAACAAACGTATTATTAAAAACGACAGGCACGAACAACATTGTGGTAAACAGTAAACAATAATTGAGGTTAGGTTCTCAATTATTTACCGCGTTTGACCGGCAAACTCCACCTCTCCACACGGTTTTAAATACAATACTTAAGTCTGTTCTTTTTAGCTAAAGTTCTTGCACGGTTCATCTTTTCTCTTTTTCTCTCCACCCCTTAGAGAAAAAAGGAAGAAAGATGAATCGTGCAAGAAGCTTGGAGCGCTCACTCAATTATTGAATCTGCTGAACGCAGCCAATGGCCTGAGTGGTCATCAGAGCATCATCGAGCGCCATGTGAATTTGCCATTAATCCATCCGTCCATCCGTCAGTGTGTCCACCATCCGAGACAGTCGAGGTAGTCCAGGCTATCCAAGGAGGAAACCATATTGATTTTTTGCGATGATAGCTGCTGCTACGGGCGGTGGTGCGCGGGCCGTGGCAGTTACGTGAGAAGTGATGCCCTCCTCCTGGCACGCCGTCGACGCCGTGTGACGAGGGTGGCCTCCTCCTCCCCTCCCCCTCCCCGACGAGGAAGAGACACGTGTGGTCGGTCGGTGTGCCGTGTCCCGTGTCCTGGGTCCTGGATCCTGGGTGGTCCTGGCGTGGTCCAGTAACGTGGCGTGACGATGCCGTCATTGCCGTCGGCGCTGCTCCGGCACCGCGGCCGCGACATTTCCATGGAAACGTAGACGCGGCCGCGCTGGTGCGTGCGGGAGCGACCACCTCCGCCGTGTCCGTTTCTCCTTCCCCGTTCTCGTCCCGCGCCGCGCGATGTCGCCCGCCTGCGGCTGCCTCGTCTCCGCGCGTGATTAGGTTAACCTGACCGCGAAACGCTCGCGGCGCTCACTCGACTCGACGTTCGACGGCGAGAGGATTTCACCGTCGTCGTCCCGTGCCTCGTGCCTCGGTGAGATTTCCTCTTCCTCTTCCTCTCTCTTTCCTTTTCCCTTTCCCTTCCCCTTCCCGGCTTTCATACTGTCGATACGATTGTCGGGATTCCATTCTCTCGCCTTTTATACTTGTCTTTCTTTCTGTGTTGATTAACTTTAATGTCAGTTTGACTTGTTGTCTTTTTTCTAATTTTAGTAGTGGATTATGTTTCTACCAATGTAATTTAATTTTAATTCAATTTCTGTTCGACTAACTTCTCTCTTTTTCCAGCTACAAGAATTTCTGTTGATTTATGTAGATCAACTTTAATTCTTGGTTTAATTTACTTTTTATTCTCTTCTAATGTTTAGAACTAGAAAAGGAGTTAAATCAAGATTATAGTTGATCTACGTTGGTAGAAATAGAGATAAAAAAAAATAAATGTCCATTTCTATCAATATAAATTTTTATCCTGGGTTTAACTTACTTTTCTTTTTTTTCTAATTTTTAGAACTAGAAAAAAATGAAAAGTCAGTTGGACCAACATTGACTTACTTTTTGTTTTTATTTTGTTTAGAATTATGATTGTTTCTGTAAATGTAGATTAACTTCAATCTCTCAATTACTTCATTCTTTATCTTTTCCAATTCTAAGAATCAGAACAAGATAAACAGGAAATTAAACTGATATTAAAGATATTTTATATTGATATAGAAATGGACATATGTCTTTCTGATTTTCAGAACTAGGAAAAGATAACAAATAAGTTATACTGATATTAAAGTAAATCTATGTTAACTTTAAGATGACTTTAATTTGGTTTAACTTTTTATTTTTTTCTAGTTCTAACAATACAAATTATGTTCATTTTTATAAATGTACATAAATGTAACTTTAATCTGAGTTTACTCTTTATCTTTTTCTAATTCTCAGAACTAGGAAAAGATAAATAAATTTAAAGTTATCCGTGATTCAAGTTAATTTACATCGATAAAAATGAACATTACATTCGTTCTTTTCCTTCTTGCTTTCATAGTTTTTTTCTTTGTTCCCGATAATTCCCACATTGATGAATCACTAGTTGCTAAGGTCAAATTGTCGAAATCATTTCGATCTGTATCTAAGATTCTTGAGATTCTATTTTTTTCAAATTTACTCAAATGATATTCTATCAGACTGACTTCTTAGTTGAATCAATGCTTTTTTCACGGCAGACAATACAGAAATAATGTAATTACATTTCTCTATTTAATATGGAATCTTCTTTATTCATTAGTGAAACTTTATTCATCATACAAATCTGTTTTATTTAAGTAAGCTCGTGTATTAACGTTGGTAAAATTGTACGTATATTCCTGAGTTAGGAAGTTTTGTGAATATCGATGATAATAAATCAGAGTGAAGAGGTCGAATTCAAAGTTATCTTTGTGATCGATATACAATAGTGATATATACAATGGGAATGAATTTCTAAGTCATAACGTGACACATATTTGCATCAGAAATTAGAAACTGAGTATAGGACGAGCAAAAATCTTACGATGTGCTTTCAGCGACTGAATTAGGAGGCACGGAAGATTGGAGTTTGGGAGAAGAGCGTGACGTTTTTGCTGGAAGAAGCGAAGAGCTCAGAGTGAATAGTGCTCGCATGTCATTGCCATTAGATTTTGTACAATGAGCAGCTGGACAGAGAGAATGCATCGACGCGCTGCTACGTTAGGAAATGTTGTAACCAGCTGCGGACATCCCTCCTCAGAGCCTCCGCACCCGAGACGCCTGGAAAAGTTAGTATATCGCTTTACGAAAATAATATGGTCACCCTTCGGTCGCTTGTTAATCAATATTTTATCTTTAGAAAGTGTTATTTTAAAATTAACTGCCTTTTTCTTGTATTTATATACACACGTGTATAGAAACTTTGTATAGATTTGTATTTTTTTTGGAAAGTCGTAAGGAAAGAGGTAAATATACAATTCATTGCTGTGACATAATAGATATGTACAGCAATAAATCATTTTAAAAAATAATGTATATCAGTTTCTTATCGAATATAAATTTTCAGGAAATCTTGGTTACAATGGTATATCTTTGATAAAGAGTAGAAGACGTGACTTGTCTGATTATAAAAAATGCATTTATATAATTGTTAATTCAAATCATAAATATACTTTTTGGGAAAAAGGAAAGAGATTATTATATAATTTATTAGTTGTGATATAATATTTACAGTAACATGTAATTGAAAAAAATTATATCAATTTTTTATGATTGTATATATTTAATTAGAAAGAGGGACATAAATTCGAATATATATTTTCTAAAAATCTTGATTGCAATTTTTAACAATAAGTAGAAAGCATAAATCGTCTGATTATAAACTGTATTTACATAATCGTGAATTTAAATCAATTGTTTATACAGTTAGACAATCAATTTCTTGTAGATGATCATTAACTTAGTATATAGATAAAGCATAGTGAGACAGCATGTCGATAAGGAAATTAATCGGGGTAATAAAGATCTTTTAAATTTTTTCACAGATGTGATAATTGATATTTAACGATATATCGAGCAAATATTGTCAGCACTCTGCGTTATATGTTTGATGCTCTGAGAAGATGCGTGGTAGCATTTGTAAGTAATCGCAGAATTTGCGAAGATTACGTGTATCGTATGTTATTATACTAATATGCATTGACAATTCGGAGATCTATTGTGTTAATAGTGCTGACTCGTTGAAAGCTGTTTAGCGAATCCAGAGTAGCGCATATTTAGTAGCGCAATTTTGTGTAACAAACAATGAAACGCACCCGCGCCGTGACGCCTCTAATTCAACATATTTTCCCGTGCCTATTTTAGAGAAACTCGCTTTAGTATACTACATCCAGAGTTCATGCGAATTTCCCGCTATTGTCTCGTCGGAATCGAATCCGACAGTATTCCCATTAGCTGAGAAAATAACGTTTGCAAACTTCTGCTTTCTTTTTGCAGGGTCAAGTTTGGTGCACCCCTGAACGAAGTGTGCAAAAATGATATTCCTGGCCCGTTATTGGTAAATAACGATTATGGAACTTATATTTTTATCCTCCATTTGCAATGAATCTTGTATTCGATAAAAACGAGGATAAAAAGATTTTTCTTGTATATATATCTCTCTCCTTTAGAAACAAAATAATTTAATTTGCAATTAGTAATAATTGATGACAATTATATGTAGCGCGAGAAAAGAGGTTTATATATTTTTATTTTTTTCGCACAAGCGAAATTTCACTCTTTCTGCGAAATAAAGGAGGGCTGAGAAATTCATTTGATAATAGATATGTTGAAAAGTAATCCTGTATTTTTCCACATTTTTTGAAAGCTAAGAGCAGTAAAAAAATTTGGGTTGAAAAAAATCTAAATTGTAGACGGAAAATTAAAACTTCTAGAGTAATTATAAAGTAATAATAATAGTTTAAATAGAGATGTAAATGAGAGAGAAGAAAGCCATTTTCAGTTAAAGTGGATCTTGGTGCTTAGTAATATTTATATGTGAATATACAAGTACATACAATTACAATAATAGCGTTCCCTTATTTCAGGTCCTTATATTGAAACTGAACAAGGAAGCTCCACTCAGAAAAGATATTTTTCGGGCACCTGGCCACCAGGGTAACATGAAGAAACTGGTACACTTCCTGCAAACCGGACATCTGGTCAACATGGATAATTTCAGTGATTACACGATAGCTAGCGTTCTAAAAAAGTTTTTGCGCAAGATACCCGGTGGAATATTCGGTAAAGAGACGGAGCAACAACTGTTTACCATAATCCAGCTAGATAGTGTAGAACAACAACGGGACCAGATACACAGGTGATGATTTCTCGCGATACACTCTCACTATATTCTCGAGACTAGTTGGCTTTACAAAGGAAATTACGCTGCGCAGATTAATTACCTCTATGCCGATATATACACAACGGTTACTGGTACTGCTGTTTGGGACATTCAGGATAGTAGCAGTAAATTGTGAGCGAGCGCACACGGGGATGACCAGTGAGGCTCTGGGGGTGTCCGTGGCACCCTCGTTCTTTCATAGTTGCGTCAGCGACGGCAAGACTGCTAAGATGGAGGATGTTCTCAGATTTAAGGTACTTGATGCGAAATCTGATCTTTATTATTATCATGATCGGATAGTTTCGTTTCCCATCAGTTTTTGTTGTTTTTTAAAATCATTAATATTATTAATATACTTTAATCCGAGCATTAAAAATTATTCTGTATAATTTAATTTAAACTGAAAGAAAATAATCTTTGTATAATTGCTGTATTTTTCTTTTTTCTTTATTTTCGTAGTAGATGCTTTCTAGTAAGAGATAAAAAAGTGTAATACAGTGAATCATCTTTTTGTTTAATATTAGCAAACAACAAGGTTGTCATAATTCACTGTCACCGGTATCTCTTGCTGGAAAGCACCCGTCTTTTATAAACACAAATTTTTAAGATTGTCAGTCTGCGAATTGAAAAATTTATTGTCGCTCGAGAAAAATTTATTATAAAGGAATCGAAATTCTTTCGAGGATTTCAACATTATTTATCATTAATGGTCGACTTATTTTCAGATCGCCACCCGCATTACCAAGTTTATGATAGACAATTTCGGTGTTTCCAATCTGTTCGGAAGGGACAATTACGAGTATTACGCGCGCATAACCGGCCGGATATTAAAAGTGGAGGAAGATTGGATCTTTAGTTTCCGATATCCGCCGGACACTCTTGTATCGAGTAAGTATGCGCGCGCATTTTTATTTGCGACGATTTAATCGCGCGTGTACGACTTGAGTATATGAATTTTAGGACAGCTGTCGCTGGAGGCTGAAAAATCGTGGTTGCAATACGAGTGCGAAAAATGGGGATTGAAGTTGAATTTAGAATGTAAGTGAATCTGATCTCATTGAATTGAGCATTTAGATTCTCGGCTATTGCTGTAATCATATTGGCTGTAATCATCGTATCGTGACATCGAAAACAAGAATCATGTTTTTTTTTTGCGCCATCATTTTTTCTACAACGCATCTCGTATTCGATAAAAAAGATTTTTCTTTTATCTCTCTTTTAGGGAGAAAGTAATTAATAATTTAACTCAATAATAATTTAAAACGATTGTACAGCTTTGGTAAAAAATATTAGGCACTAATATTTTTCTCATTCATTAGGAATTCTTTTATTGTCACCTATTAATTGTTATCATTATATACAAGTTTAAAATTCTTGAAACAAAAAATAATTTACAGTAAATTCCATAAATTAATTTTTGAGTTAAAATTTTAAATAATAGTTATTAAAGTGCCTAATATTTTTGGCCAAGATTTTATATAGCATGAGAAAAGGGGAATATATTTATATTCCTGTTAATCTAATCTAATATTAATCTAATATATAACAACAAAAAGATTCTAAGTATCTCTATAATATCGTAATAATTTTTAATTCACACTATAGGTATGTCGCATCAAGAGGAATCGCAGTCAACTCCGGCGTTAATTCACGTGCCGGAGACTGTGAATCTCGCGTCATCATTAGGTATGATTCCAGAGAACACCTTACTCGAGAGTTACACGCGTCTCTCGGTGAGCTTAGAGGAAAACGGCTTGTTCCAGGTATAAATGCATCTATCGATAAGAAATCGCAATCATAGTCTCGTATAACGTCGCAATCGTAATGCAAAAAATATTTGAAGCAGCATAGAAAATAGATTATATTATTACAGGCACCCAGTCGTTCATCCAGTAATGGCAGTCAACATGGGACAATGGGTATGACGCTGGAAGAGCTTCGCGCGGTGAATCGTTATGCCGAGAGCACCAAGAGTCTCAGTTACCTGCCGCAGGTAAGACGATCGTGTCTCAATGAAGACAAATGAACAGACAATTGAACTAATAATGTCATCGTTGACCACCGCAGGTCCACGAGAGGCAAGCCGCACGAATGCGAACTAGATCTGAATGGTTTCTCACGCCTGTAGTTGCCTCGGACAGTGATCCCTCGGCGATACACATTTTACGAGGTTCCAATCGGTCTTCCTCTGGCAATATAGGTAAACAATCACATGATTTGAGAGTCTTCTTTGATAACCAGAAAAAAGAAGATTGACACGAGTTTGATATTTTTGCTCTTTAATCTCATATTTTCTTATCATTAATCAGATTATTTTTAATATATAAGTTTTAGAGAGAGAGAGAGAGAGCGAGAGAGAGAGAGAGAGGGCGCGAGAGCGAGAGGTAAAAAGAGAGAGGTGGAGAGGGGGAGAGAGAGAGAGAGAGAGAGAGAGAGAGAGACAGAAATATTGTTATAATTTAATTATTTTTATATTTATATATACCTACATAAGTTAAAATTCTTTATATTTTGGCTTACATCAACCTTTTTCTTTTCTGGTTTCTTAAATATTCGAATATGATCAAACATCTGTTTCTGGCTGCTTTTCTTTCAGGAAACTATCAATATAATTTCTTTGTTTTTTATTGAATGTCAAGAAGGATAGAACGAAGTTTGTGTCGACTGTTTCTTAAAAGGAAAGCAACCTTTGTCCTTGAGTCTTTGTTCAATAAAGTCTTTTTGAATACAGCTACGGGTTTGAGCGCCAGTGCGGAATCGGTGAAGCGGCCGAGTCTTCGGAGAACTGCCTCCAGGGAGAAGCAACGTTGGCATCGCAACTCGTCTCGTCGCAACAAAGAGAACGGTACTAAAGGAGCTGGTCGCTCGGCTACAGCGGCCGCGGCGGCGATGGTGACGGAAGCGTCCAAGTCGCGTTCCCTGGAAACGATCAAAAACGTGAAGATCGTGCGTGTAATGGCAGCGGATCAGCAGCAGCCAACGGCCGAGAAGATGATGGACAGCCATAACGATATCTTCGAGGAGCACGCGAGCAAGGAGACGCGCGTGCCGTCGCGCACCAGCGGCGACGGTGTCATTGGGCCGCAGGATTGCACGGAGATGGACGTGAAAACGTTTCACGTCACTCTGACGTACAAGCCGCGAATATAAATGACTTTAATTTTTATTTTTTTACTTTATTATAATCTAACTCGCCGCTTTCAGGAATGTCGGAACGGTATTACTTTTCTCGCGCGTGAAATATGTTTTCGCGTTGGTTGTTACCCCAAATATTATACGTAGTCACAAACTTGGACGACGATTTTATCCTAATGTTCGACGTTTAGGAAATATCAAATTTATCTCGTTTGCGTATATATATATAAGATCTTTTTTTTTTAAATTTTAATAACGACGCTCAGGAGTATCGAACTCGAAATATCTTCCTCGCGCAAAATTGCGTAGTAACACACATACACATATACAACGTACATACACAAACAAAGATTTATTTATTCTCGCATATTATAGTTCGTTTTTCATTGTTTTATAGTCGTGAAATTTTATCACTTTTCCGTGTAACAGAACGATTAATTAAGTTACGTTGAAGAAGAGAGGGATTATATGAGAACACACTCTTGATTTTTATTCCGTTGAACATACCGGTTTAACTTTGTTCGGTTACTCTCGTGTAATAGACATTATCGTGGCATTCCAGATGCATTTACTCTTGCCCCGCGATATTTTAATTAACTTTTCTTGCGTACTCGATAATTTCGTTCGAGATTGATCGAGACGTTTTTCACACGAATCGTATCACCATCACTTGTATTTATTCCGAGTTATTAGAAATATGACTTAGACACTTCGGAAACTTATCCCATCGATTACCATCGCGTGACTAACAGCGTAATATACGCAAGATGTTCCACGACGTGTCCAGCAATGTCTCATGAATTCTTTGTGCAATCTATAACAGAGTTCATTTTCTCTTGATGAAAACGTTGGGATATTCTTTTGGAATTACATGCGAGGCATGTAAGTTAAGTTTTAAGAACGCGGTTAGACAATAATATATTCTCTTCCTTTAAAATTTTTAATTCAAACGAATAGACCAAACGCTATTCTGTTTTTTATTCGTGGTATTGCGACTCTTCTATGTGGGTTGAAAGTCCATCCAGGGGGATAAGAAGAAAAAATTCAAAGGGATTAAAAAAAAAAATTATTTAAGACTTTGAGATAAAAGTCATGAGTTGTGAAATAGGATTTAACGAAATGTTTTTTCATAAAAAGAATTCATAAATGAAATTTATTTGGACACGTCGCGCGAAAAAAGGAGGACTCGGTAGATTTTGCAATATTTACGCGAATTCCTTCATCGCGACGTATCGGTTATTCGTATATAAACGCACAGTCACGGTTGTTACATGCCAAATTAGTAGTACATGTAAGCTATACTTGTAAGACATCGATTATAGAAAATGTTATGGTCGTATTATCGCGTGTACGTTACGAAAATCGTTGATAAGATCAGACAGGCTGAGTCAACGGAAATGAAACAAAGTTTTTTTTTCTTTGAATTTGAAAAAAAAATTGTATATTCACTTAATTGTTGAAGGAAACAAAACGTGGATTAATTACATTTCGATTTTTATGTTTTAATTAATTACAATTCTGTTATCTACAAACATTCGAGTTGACCACGATAGAATCACCTAAATTGCGTTGCATATATTTTTTTGTCTTCGAATTCACGGGAAATTCTTAAAGATTCCGCTTCTGTTGACTCGTCCTGTACGTAGAAACTATACCGTATTAAGTCGCTACTCGATATTATTCTCATCTAGAGCAAACGACTACAAAACGAGAGATATTTACCACCGTAAGAAAAAAAAAAGCGAACAACGGCATCCATATAACGACATATGTTAACACAACGAAAGTGTTCCGTAAATAAGAATGTAGTGTAATTGCGCGACGAAGACCGCGCGCGGCGGACTTTCCAAGGGATTGCGGTTGATTAAACCGATCGTACGACCGGATCCCAAGGAGGATAGTAATCGATATAGTAATCGCGTAATATTGCGGAAAAAATATTGCGGGAACTTGAACGGGAGCGACAGAGACGGATTCGTTCAAGCCTTCTCTGTCTCGCAACCGAAGAGCCATTTTCAAGCCGTCTTAAACCCACACGTTCGTCGATAATTATTTAAAAAAGAAAATACTGAAATTGTGTATCATGGACATATATAAAGCCATGGAGATTTTGCAATGAGCGATTTATATTTAAAGAAAGCGAAAGGAGGAGTAAATGAATTTTAAGATGGTTCGGAGATGAGCTGTTAAAAACTTCTTCGTGAAGGCCATTACGTAAATTAATATATTTATGATTAGACGTATATAACGTGTAAATATTGAATATATATATATATATATATATATATATATATATATATTACACATATATATAATATATATGCAAATGTAAACGCGTGAAAGTATGTATGTGTGATCGTGTTGAATGTCGCCGCATCGAATTGCCGTATCGATTTAAGTGTACTCGATGTCATCATTTCGCGTCTGAGGGATGATAAAGGAGAAGGAAGTGGAATACGAGGAGAAAGAAGAGGAGCAAGAGTCGGTGTTCACGTGCCGAGTAGAGGAAAGAAGACGCAGGCCCAGATGAGAAAGCACCCGATCAGGAATAGCAGCAGCCTCGTGCGGAAGCTGTCCCAGCCGACCAAGATTATCCTCGGTGGCGTGCGTCTTTCCGTCGCGGAGAACTGAAAAATACGCACAATCGTTACTCGCTCATCCGATAAAAACCGCGTACGAAAGTGGACAGGAATAGATCACGTTGTCCACTTGCTCTTCTTCGTTCTCGTCGTCGTCGTCATCATCGTTATCGTCATCGTTGTCACCATCGTTATCGTCATTGTCATCCCGCAATCTCCACGCGCTTGGATGCTGTCGCATCGGATCCGTCTCTCGATCTCGTGTGTTCGTCGACGACGTTATTGTTGTCGTCAACGGCGGTAGCGGCTGCACTTGTGGTTGTAACTGTGATTGCGACTGTGGCTGCAATTGTAACTGTAATTGCGATTGCTGTGGTTGTGGTTGCGACTGCGACTGTGACTGCAATTGTAACTGCAGTTGCGATTGCGACTGTTGCTCTGGTTGCAACTGCGACTGCGACTGCGACTGAGGCTGCTGGCTTCTGGTTGTCTCAGATCGCTTGTTCCCAACAACGATAACGTTGTCGTCTACCGCGGATCGCGATTCGCTGAGCCCGTTGCTGTGTGGTTGTCTCGCGAGATACATGCTCGATCATGCGTGCGCAGTCATATTTTTTTACCAACGACAATTTCATCGCGATACTGTGTAGAGAAGAAGGGGACTTGTTTGATTCGAGAGCAAAAGAAGAGAAAAATAACGAAGAATTTTGTAATCATACAATGCGAAGTGTCTGTATAATCTCTCGTGGCCCATGATATCTTTTAGTGATTTAATTTACCCTTTTCTCCTCTACATTACGTATCGTTTTGAGATCCTTGCCTATTACAGTCCCGGCCAAAAAACGTGGAGCCGTTAAGCTGCTTTGATCAAAACGTTCGTTCATTTATTTGTCTGATTAGCGTAAGTGTCATAAAAAGAGAAGGCGAACGAATTTTTTGATCTATAACGATTTGTAGATTTACTAAGGTCCGCGCAATTTTTAAAGATCTTTCTTAAGAATCGCGTCTCTCTCAGTATTATTTACAACTCTGTGTAAAAAGAAGATTTGCCGTACTTTTTAATTTTTTAACAACCAGACTCAGCGCGCAATCTGCTCGAGTATGATAATAAAGGGATCGAATAATGTAATAATGTACTGTGTAACGACGTATTTTATTCGAATATTTACAGGAGCCAAATATTTATAAAACAGTACGAAATATACAATATTACAATCCGATTTATGGAAGCCTTTAGCTGCCAGGAGAACTTCTCCCTGAGCGTTCGGTCGTTCCTTCCGAATTTCTCCAAAGATTTGTTCACATTTCGTTTTGATGAGCAATCGTCACAACGCAATATATGATTTGTAATACAAACGTTGTAAAGTTAGAAATGCAGAAAATGCGATGGTGGAAAAATACGTACTCCAATTGGTCCCAACAGCAGTAAACCACGTAGAACTGATATACGCTGCTTGCTAGTCCCGATACTAATCGTGGTTTATCACAAAATCACGAAGAAGTCATAGAATTCAATATCGAATTATAAATTGCGATCACAAAGTCACAACCCAGTAAACGTCAGTAACATCAATGTTACAATTTCGATATTCAACAATGTAACTACTGTGTAACACATGTTATATTACATTTTATTGTTGAGTGAAATTATATCATTCATTACTGTTAGTTACAGTTTTACTGAAGTATCCTCTCCAAATTCTTTAGAGTTGTAAAGAGTGAAGTTTAAATTTCATTCTTTAAAAGTGAGGTTTGCTCCAAAAGTTTTAGAGAGTAACTAAATATTTAGATACCTCAGTAAAATCGTTCTTACTATGTGGTTTACTTGGGAAGTCACAGAACCGCAAACTAGCGATTATAATGGAGAACACGAAGTCATATGGATCCGATCATAAATCGCGATCTCAACACCAGCGAGATCGCCATCAAGCTCTGATAAATCACCCATAAATCACGAGGCCGCAGAATTCATCGCCGATTTGCAATCGCGAGGACACAGCAGGATTTGTAAAGCGAGGATGATCCCGATCACAAGATCCGATACTGGTCCAGCAGGGTGTAGATGATGATCCAGAGGAGGAATGCCACGATCACGGAGATCAGGAAGACAGTTTTGAGCGAATGCCAAGGACTCTCGGGGTGCGGCTCGTTGCCTCTGACTCGGCTGTTCCTCCAGACCTTGCAGCCGCCGTTCTTGCAGGGCATCGCGTCGCTGCCACTGGGATGCGTCGTCGACGGCATCGACGTCGCGACGTTGCTGCTCGGCGCGGTCACCTTCACCTCGCCCATCTCCGTGGTTTCACCGGCAGCGTGCCGGTGCACCTCCGCTGTCTTCGTCGCCAGCTGAAATCTTGACGGCGAATCCATCTGGAATTCAAGAGGTAAATGTCATGTCATCTTTTTTGTTGTAGATAATGCGGTTTATATAAGGAAAAGAAAAATTATAGTTAATTATAATCTGAAGCTTTCGAGCGTAAAGAAACAAATATAATTATCATGTAAATAAGGAAAGATAATAATTGTTATTGTTTCTTTACGCTCGAAAGCTTCAGAAATGTTCCCAGCCAGAAATAACTCATCGAATTAATATCGAATCGACATCGGTATGATAATTCCAACTGGAGCTGATGATTTGCTTCGAAGACTTTGAACTTGAAGATTCGAAGCTTCGACATTTAAAATCTTTGATACTTCAAACTTCGAATATTTTTATGTCGTAATTATACTGTTAAATTAAAAAATATGTACGTAAGGTTAACCACTTTCATCAATTTTTAGGATTTTGTCTCGATTTTTCGTTCTTAAAATTATTGTTTTATGCTAAGAAAGATTTACAATCAGTAAAACCAAAACGTTCATATTAATTTACTATTTTTTTATTCATTCATTTGAGAATAAATTTACTTTTTAAATTTTCTTAATTGGATAATTTATTTTATTGACCATTATCCTTCCTTATTTACATAATTAATATAAAAAAATACTTCCAAACTTCCTTTAAGAACATTACATTTTTTTCAATATATGCATATATTAATTAATTCTTTTCATTTATAATATTTTTAGCATTTTCTAAATGAATTCGTCATTCGCATATATTTTCTGAAGCTTCAAAAAATTCGAATCTTCGAAATAAATCAACAGTCTTAATTTCGACATTAATTCGACATCTAATCGATAGCCATTTCTCGTTGGGGGTTTTATCTGCTACGCAATTTTCAGAAACTTTTCAAAAATGCGATGTAAAGCGTGATATAACATTTTTTTGACTCTTTTAAACTCTTAATCTCTTAAACTAAAAACTTAAAATCGAAAAATTAAAATAATCTCTTCGAATATTTTATTCAGAAAAATTTTTTTTCGTTAAATTGGGGCGTGCTTTTGTTGTATAGTTTTCTCAAAAAAACTTCCTAATCGTTAAAATATATCGACATTAGTATATTACTCAACTTATCTTGATAAATAACAAATGAGAAATGCAAAAGATTTTTCTTTTTCGTCATTGTTTCAACAACGAGACGTTTCACGTGAAATGTGTAGGAGAATAAAAATAATATTATTTGTAAACATATTATTACGATATCGCAGAAAAAAGTACAGCAAAAACATTGCGGTATTTTAACCTTTATTGCCGGAAAAAAATTATCTCTCTCTGTCAGTGGTTTTAAACATCCTGCAAACCACCCGGTTGATATTTCATATTTCCGAATTCAAACTCGACCTGTCTAATACGTTATGGAAAAATAAAACTAGATGCAGTTAAAATTAGACTCCAATTAGACTAAATTCCTAATTAAATTCTATTAAACTCTAAATACTATTAGAGGTTCTCCTAATCTTCTTGTCTCCGCGTTTTAAAACAACTAGCTTTTAAAACAATTATATTAAAAGATAAAATATGTAATATACCTCCCTCCGCTTACACAATAAAAAACATTTCGTATTTGTGTTAGAAACTCACATTTTGGTTAAAATTTTATGTTGAATTTTTAATATATCCGAGTTTTAATTTTACATAATATGATTGTGTTTGAATATTTTAATGTTAAATTAAAATTTAGCATTTCTCAGTGTTAAAATAACACAATTTATAAGTAAGCAAACAAATAACAACATGACATACAAATAATGTAGTTTTAAAACATAAATTCTAACAATAAATGAATGAAATATGTGTGTTGAGTTAATATATTATAAATCTTAATTTTATTGAAGAAATATGTTCTGTACAACTATAATAGTTACACATTTTTATATAAAAAGGTTCATATATTTTGTGTTATTTTCTCTTTATAGTAGTAAATATCTGTCAAATCTATATATAGTATTGCATATGTTAAATATCACAGAGGCATTGTCTAAACTAAAAATGTAAAAATAGTATCTAATTTTAGTTAAATTTAACGTTATAAATATGTCAATTTAACATAAAATTTGTTTTTAAATTGTGTCAAAGTATTACGCTTCTTGGGTTAATTTTTTACATAATATTTGTGTTACTTTCTAACATATTCATCTTATATTAAATTAACACAAAAATTAGTGGACCGTTTGAGACATGTGAAATATGTTAAATTTAGCACAACTTTTTTTTACTGTGTATGAATATTTGTTATTTAAATTTATTTCAAATATGTATTTTTCGAATTACAATAAGTTTTAGTTGACTCTTCGCTTTTTATTATTCTTTGAAAATTTGTGTTGAATTTAACATATTGTAGAAATCTTTAAGACTCGTTTTCAGTATTTATTATAGTTTAAAGGTAAAAGATTAAAGATTAAAGGTTATCAACAGATTCATCGATGAAATTCATTTATGAGTGTTTTGGTTACTTTTAATCTTTAGGTTACCATGTATTGTGAAATCAAGCGTTTAGAATCTCAAATGGTCTACCTAAATTTTTGTGAAATAAAATGAATGTATTAAAGGGACAAAAATTATGCAAAAAATTAACAAGAAATGTAACAATGAGACACAATTTGTAAGCAAATTGTGGAAGCATAATTTTTCAATAAAATTAATATTTATATGTATGTTAAATTAACACATTTAATTTATTTATCTTAAAATTTACATTTTAAAATATTTACATAATTTTGTTATTTGTTCACTTATTTATAAATTGTGTTATTTTTACATTAGAAATGTTGAATATTAATCAATATTTGACACATATTCAAATAACACGATCACATTATATTCGTTAAAAATTTAACACAAAAGTTTTAACAAGGATTAATTTTAACACAAATACAAAATGCTTTACTGTATGTAAAACTGGAGTTATGAATAGACATCTTTTATGCCATCGCGATAGTAATCACCACGAATTTTATAAAACAACAATTTTGAAAAAATTGTTCTTTTCCTCATTTTTTTTTATCATTGCAATGGCAATAATCGAAATGTAGATAGTATTATAGATGCGTCAGGATATGAAGATCGGAAAGTGAAAGGAGTAAATCAAGCCGGTGATTACGTGTATTTCAGGAATCTGGTTTTCTGAGGAGTAGGGGAGATTTCGCTGTTTATTTATCATATAACGGATTGATCCATATGGATCTAAACATCATCATCTGTTCACGTTCATGTCACACTACGCATTGATGATTAAGAATTGCGAATTGAAAATTTCATGTAATTACGTAAGGACAGTTTTACTGAAGTATCTAAAAATATTTAGCTAGATACAGATTTGAAAATAATTTTATTGTTGGATCATAAAAATAATTATGTAGAATCTTCAAACTGGTTGTTAGAATGTCAAAATTTTTTATTATATTGATGGTCCAACCAAATTATTTTCTGTATTTAATTAAATTATTTTTGTTAATTTTTAGATACTTTGGAAAAATTGTGCTTTTCACATAGAATTTAGCCAATCAGATCACGGATTAAATAATTTAAGAAATGTTAGATTCCTTATGTTTCAGCAATAATAACTGCTAGGAATCGGCATTGTAATTAAAATATTTAATAAAATATTTAATAAAAAAATAAATTTTACATGTATTACAACTAATGTTCAGCGTATAATAAAAGAATATTCATGTACAATACATGTACAATTTCCTTTTTAATTAAATATTTACAGCGCACTAATTATAGCACTGATTCTTAGCCTAACATTCACCTTTTCATTGCCATTGAAACGGATTAAAATAAAAATTATTTAACTGGTCGAATTCTTATATCTAATTTGCAATTCTCAATTTCTACTGCGTAGTATATGGGTTTAACGGTAACACATATTAATAATTAATTTTCGCGAAGACACAAGCAACATACATATCTCGAAAGCACAGTTGATCGCGAAATCGTGATGTGTTCCAAAAGTTGCATAAAAGAAAAAGTTAATACAGATTTGTAACAACAATAAAACGTATTTCTAAATAATAGAACACACTTTAATTTTCAAAGTGTTCGATTGACTTCGCGAGTCACTTCGAGATGGCCTCTTGAAATTGCACTTTGAGATCAGTTCGCGTTTTTATTTTTTTTTTGTTTTTAGCAACAAAGGGAAGGGGAGCTTGTTAACGTTACTCGTTACGCGACTTTCACCGCATTCGTTCGAGGATCAAACGACAGTCAACGACCCGATTAGAGGCGATCGACCGTGTCCGTTCGCCAACGTCGATATTAATGGGATTCCTTTTATGAGGGATTTAATCATTTTCTCGAATGTAGCTGCGACGCCGGCATCGTGAAATTGGACGAGTAGCATCTGAATAAATTGAGACGATTGGCGGACGAGATAATTCCTGATAACACGATTATTCAGACCCGTATATGCATATTCGTTCGATTTTGTAAAATTATTTCATCAAAATAATTATGTAGAGTGGAGATCATGAAGGTTTGTCAAAGTAGGGCTTTAAACAGATATTATTTATTATCACCAATGGTGGCTCAAAAGTGAGTCGAAACGTTTGAAGCTCGTAATTGAATATAATTGATAATAGATTTTAATCGTGCCCTACTAACCTGCTCCTGACTTTTATTTGTCCAACGTATCTTTTTATTTATATTATAATTTCTTAAAATTTGAGAATAATCTTCTAAGACTAATATTTGTTAATTATGTAGGACATTCAAGTTGTGAGTTGGTTGATAAAATGTTAACATTTTTTGCAACATTCGTCATGCTTGACCATCCATAATTATTTTGTAACGTTTCAAATTAAAGAATACTATTTGTTTTATTTGTGACTGTAGCGAATTCAGATCTGTTTCTTTTTTTAGAATATAAATCTACCATAATTGTATATTTATTATTTGTACTGTTAGAGCTCACTGTTTGGAGCTGAAACGTACAGTTTGTGAAGCAATGTATTTTCAGTTATATTTATTGAATTTTTCTGTTAATTAATTGCGCCGACTCTCTTAACGGCTCTTTTATCTTTATTTTTATAATTTGAATCAGTAGAAGTCCTGCAGCGTCTTAAATTTGACATCTATTGTATATTTTATGGTTTGTTGTTATTTGTGGTTCAGCAAAACTGTTTTTTGTACGAACACAAATAATTAATAATAAATAACAAATTGTAATTACGAAAATGATATTCTCAATAATTTCAATTCGTTAAAAAAGAAGTAGAGAAAAAATTAAGAAGAAACTTAGAGAAATAATTAGAGACAAGAAAAGGAATATTAATTCTTTCCCGTCAATTTCAATACTTTCTCTCTCTCTCTTTTTCTCTCCCCCTTTTTTTTATTAATTTCTAATTCCAAAGACGTTAACCAGATCTCCTAGATTGATAGCATGAGTACTCACGTTATCGAACACATATCCATATTTCTTGACGTAGCAATTGTCCTTGCTCATACCTCACTATCGCATCTCCGGAGGAGGCACCTCCGAGTTCCAAAAAGAGAAACTGTTCGTTCGTGAACTCGCGGATTTCTCGAATTGTTAATTTGCACCCGGAATCTCCGGAAGTCCCGCTTTCGAAGCCTGGATATGATCGAGGTGAACCGCAACGACGCGCAGTAGCTCGCTCACGCGAATCGCTGTCGGAACTGACTAGTTTAGACTGAGCGAGAGACATTATCACCGCTTATCAACCGCGACCCCTGACCAGTCGGCCAATAAACTAGCTTTCCCTTCCCCGAGGAAATTTACCGTCGAAATCTTCGGAAGTTCCGCCAATAAACGTATTTTCTTCTTCGATTTATTGAACATGTTTCTTACCTCGAAATAATTGCCATTGTTATTTAACTTAATTATTAAAAATTGTGATTAATCGTGAGTACTCGTCAAATACTGAATATATTACTGTCATATAATATATGTATATACATATATATATGTATATCTATATGCATTATATATGTATATATATATATATAAATATATAAAAGATGTACAAGGTGTCTGATAATTGTTCTGACAGAATACTATTTTTAGCTAACTGGAAAATGAGAGGAGGTACTTTCGTGGTGGAAAAAATTTTAATATCTTACAACATTTTAAAAAATTTCACATATATAAAGATTTACAAATATTAATTTATGAAGACTTTCTTAAATACTTTAAACTTTCAGATTTTATAATTTTTTTTTTCGAAAATTATAGAATGAGAAATCTTAAAACATTCCAAAAGTTGCACTTACATAAAGAATTTTAGAAAAGCTGTAGACTTTCTTAGCATTTCTGAAAAGTGTTTCAATTTGCATTAAAAAATCTGAAAAATTTTCTAAAAATCAGGACGTTATAAAATTACATAGAAATTGTGAAAAATTCTCACATGTATATAGAAAAATGTATCCGAAAGATATGAAGAATTCCAAGAAAAACTTTCACAAATTACATAGAAATTGCACGCATTCACAGCGCAAATTACACTGCATTATATGCGCTACATAAACGCTCGACGATGGAACGATGGAGGAAAGTTCAGGACGCGATCACCTTCGTGCATCTCCGAGGAAATATTGCGACATACGCGCGCATCAAATATATAATCATACCTTGCGTAATTCTATTTCTCTCTCTCTCTCGCTCTCGTCCATTATTTTCCGCGAGGACAGATACGATTATGGAAATCGCGTGATGTTCCGTGGATCATCGTTCGCCGGACCTTCGGGAAGCTTACGTGCCATCCCGGCGATCGTAACGATAATAACGACCGCGTTTTAATCGTGTTAGATATAACGAGAAAAGAAGTCGGTCGACTGATATCGATGAACCGATCGCCCGTCGCTGCGCTTCTCGCTCGGCCATTTTGAAGAATTTTTATCGATTTTTATCGTGGAAGAATAAACACGCGAACGCATTCAAGTTAGTCAAACAAATATTTTTTAATAGGTGAGATAAAATTTTACAATACGAATTTTTATCGGTAGTAGTCAATCATAGTGCATGCACTATTATAATGTTTTTCACTAGCTGCTGCGCACTTAGTGCACTTTAAAGCCGTTGTACACAAATCGACGTGAAGATATATGTTTAATAAAAATATAGAAACGAATTAAACTGCGAAATCGTCAATACATTTTATTGTGGTATTTGATAAAATATACATTGGGTATTTTATTGAGATATCTCAGTTTTAAATATTCAGACACTAGGTTAGTGTACAACTTTAATGTACACTGAGTGTGCACTAATTCTGTCAGTAAAAAACGCTAATTCATGCGTATTACAGGCACATGAATTGTGATAAAAAGTTGCGCCTGTCAATAAATGACCGTGTTCCGATATACGGGGGGGGGGGGGGGGGGGAGAGTCGATGGGGGATGAGTGCAAAAAGTATTAGGTGTTGGAATTAATTCGTAGCGTTTTACAAGTGATGGGAAGTACTTTCATTAATGTATTTTTTAATGCTCATGTGAAATAAATAACATTCTTTCATTAAAAACGCTACGAATTAATTCCAACACCTAATATTTATTAGAAAATTTTTTTAAAAACCTTAATTTAAAAAATAAACATTAATTAGCAATTTATTAACGAAAAATAAAATAGATCGTATATTTTTTAAAATTATTATACAAGATTTGTAAAATAATTAAAGAACAAATAGAAAAACATTGGGAACAATTGTATAAAAATGTTTTTTCGTCTTTATACGAATATTCCCAATGTTTCTCAATAAAAAAAGAAAAATAGAGATTTGCAATAATAATAAAATATATTTCTAAACAATTTTTTGCCACAAATAGAAAACATTGAAAATAATCGTATAAAGATGAAGAAACATCTTTATATGAATGTTTCTTCATCTTTATAAGAAAATAATAAAATAATTTTAAATAATAATTATAATATTATATGTATATATATACAGGGTGTCTGGAAAAAATCGCCAAATATTTCATGAGTAGGTAGAGAGAACTAAACTGATTGTGAGTCGAAAAGTCCTCTACCATTTTGCAATTTTCGCAATAGTTAACAAGATATTAATTATTAAAAATTGCCAAATATTGGTCTTGAATAATTTTTTACTCAAATACTATCAACTTTACAGAAAAACTGCAAGAGACAAAAATCATTTATTTTCTTCTCATAAAGTTTTAAGAATTTTTTCAGAATTTTTTATCAACTTTATAGTACTGCATTTTCTTTTTTTTTACTACCATGAAAGAAAATACAGTATTAAAAAATTCTGAAAAAATTCTGAAAAAATTCTCAGAACTTTATGAGAAGAAAATAAATGATTTTTGTCTCTTGCAGTTTTTCTGTAAAGTTGATAGTATTTGAATAAAAAATTGAAATATTATTGAAATATTATGAAATATTATTTTATAATGACAACATATTAAATATTTATTTTGATATTGTAAATTTAAGCGCACTTATTAATACATCGTCAATCATTATAACCTTTTTATTCTTTTGAGTTTGCACATTGTTAATTATGAGGGATTTCTGATTGGTTATCTCTCATCAGTTATCAGTTATTGATTTTATTATAATTTTTATTGCGATGAATAAATTGGAGACGAGTAGACCATATTTCAAATAAATTATTTTGAGGATGTAGCGACTTCGAAAATTGCAAAAAATTTAGCAACTATTATTGTTATTATTGCAAATCTTTATTCTTTTTTTATTGAAGAATGTATTTTGAATACTAATAAGAATACCAACAGCCAAGAAAAAATTACGAAAAATGCAAAAATAATCTCATTTTAACGCAGAAAGCACTACGTTATTAATGTTATTTTATCGTTATTGTTGCAGATCTCTATTCTTTTTTTATTATAAAATGTATTTTTGAATTTTTGGATATCAATAAAAATACCATCAGCAACAGCCAAGGAAAAAAATATGAAAAATATAAAAATAGTCTTGTTTTCACGTAGGAAGTATAGTCATTAATGACGTCTTCAGAAATAACGGAAGTTGTGCTAAGCTTCGGTGGTTAAGGTATTCTTGCGAAATGTCTATGCGTTTTAGTAAATTTTCATGCAATAATATTTTACGTATGGTCTTTGTTATCTTTTAGCGATAGAGAAGAGCACCTATATGATAAAATTCTTATGAAAGAGCTAGTTAATAATCTTTTTTTTTACCTTCTAAAACAGTTTTCATTTACAAGTTTTAAGCATATTTAAAACACCGTCGTCCAGAACCAATTGAATAATAAAATTAAATTATTACAAAACATTAAAATATATTAAATTTTACATTAAAATAATAATAAAAGTGTAAATTGAAAAATAAATACGATTCAATTTGTTTTTTTTTTTATTTATATTTATTTGTTAAAGAAAAGGATTTGATTTGAAGAAACGCGCAGAAGAAATATAGTTGAAGTATCTAAAAATTTAGATATAGATTTGAAAATAATTATGTTGGCACCTAAATAATTGTTAGGCGCTCAGCTTAATTGTCAAAATGTCAAAGGCTTTTCCCACATATTGTCATCATGCTTGAGCTTCCAACGTAATTATTTTAACAGTCCAACATGATTCTCAAACAGCACAAAGTCTAAAATTGTGAGACTTTAACGTAAGACTTTAAGTCGTCTTTTAGATGCAAAAAACGTTCTAAACTTTATAACTCGATTTTAAAGACTTTTTTTTATTATCTGGATTATTTTTAGATTTATATTATCCTAACTTTTATATTTATATTATCCTTATATTATCCTTTTAGATTTATATTATCCTAACTTTTTTATTGTATTTCAGCGGAACCATTCTTTCTGTATGCGACTATCGTACCTGATAGCACATATCAATACAATACATCGTTCTGCAATCGCGAATAGAATATCAAACTAACGTGTCGATCGACACTCTAAAGTGATAAAGCCAGATCAGGTCATTATGTTAAAAACAACGATGGAATTTAGTTTTTACCTTATGCACCTGCTGTGGTCGCCAGGTGTGCTTGAAGAAGCTCTCGAAACATCTCATGCTGATCGTTTCTTCTTTACCTCTCACCGTTTCTCCTCTGCTGATCATAGCATTATTATCACGCGTCACATACGTCAATACTATTCGCAGTGCGAATTTGATCGTCCTTTTCTGCCGTCACCTGAGATCGATCACGAAGCTGGGATCGAATTACGATGACAAAGAGCGACGTACGAGACTTCTGGATGAGGAATTCAGGCACATCCTCGCGAGCACGTATTCGCGTTCCGAAGAGAATGTCTTCGATGTAATAAGGAAACAGGAAAAGGAGGAGAAGGAGGAAAATCCACACGAGATGTACGATCGAGAACCGTACTGTTCGCCGCCCGATCGCCGACTAACGAGAGGAACTGAGGAAGGATGGAGGGATGCTGGCATTGCTGGCGCGAGTCGTTCCTCCACTTCCGCATGTCGTACCCACTCTGCGGATACTCGCAAAGGTGCGGCCATATTCGGACTGAAGCGATCCTCTTCGATCATCACTGCACGGAAAGATCTCTCTCTCTCTCTCTCTAAAATCTAAGAAACTTAAAAATAATCTAAAATCTAAATCTTTCCACCATGCCCTTGAGACAATTTACTTTTAAAGTTTTTAAGAGTTGGACTTAAAAAATATTGAGGTAATTTAAAATGTGTAAAAGGTTAAGAGAGCGCGCGCGCCAAAATAATTTAAAATATTTTGTTTTTCAAGGATTTTATATTGTATAATCAAGGACTTTAATGTAATCAGGACAGCACATTAGTTTTTTTTTTTTCAGTTGTTCTTAAGTAAGTCTTAAAGTCATTTTAAGGAAAAGAGAGTTTAAAATGTTCAAATTTACTTTTATATTTTAGGTTTTTTTCTCTACGATAAATTGTAAGTATTTTTTTTAAGTTTTTTAAAATAAATTTTCTCAAGGGTGAAAAGATCTAAAATTTTGCAGATCTTAATCGCTAAAATAAAATATTCTCGAGCTATTGTCTAGTAATAGATACATGGAACACTAAGAAAAATTATTTTGTACGTACAACTAAAATTTTGTTGATATGTGGCTTGATTAACAAAAATTTCCTTACTTTTTCATTAAAAAATTGTGTCCTAAATTGTGTCCCTACCAAATTTTGATTAAAATAATTAAATTTTGACAATACAATTTTTAAATAAAAAGTAGGGACATTTTTGTTAGTCATATATCAACAAAATTTTGGTTGTACAAAATAATTTCTATCAGTGAAAGAACGTTTTTGCTGAAAAATCTAAAATTTTGCATATTTAGATAAATCTAAAAATAATTTTGTTAGACCATAAAAATAATTTTCTCGGAAACTCAAACTGATTGCCCTCCCTAGAATATCAAAATTTTCTGCAGTAACGAAATAATTTTTAAGTCTGTATGTAAAATTTTAGGTATTTCAGCAAAAACATTCCTTTCATGTTTTTATTAGACAGTAGCTTACTTAGACAGTAGAATATTTTAGTTTAGAAATTGAGGCAATTAGACTTTTTCACGAAGGACGTTCTTGCAATTTTCTGATAAGATTTCTATCTTTCCGCGATAAAGAAAAATTTATTTAAAGAAGTGAACGTTCTGGAAAAGAATAGAGTTGAATTTTAATCACTCAGTAAAATGTTTATTCTGCAACTGTAAAAAGTTTTTTTTCACTGAAACAGGAATTATATTTTTCTAGATCTAAAAGTATAATCTAATCAGCGCAAAGTGCTAATTAAGCTTTGATTTTTGCCTTGACGCAGTCATTACGCTTTGTATTTACAGTGAAATAAAATATATGCTCGAAATTTACCGAAAAAGAAAGTTCTAATGCAGCAATGAAAAACAAAACTATTTGTCTCCTTCGTAATATAATTATCTGAAAACAATATTTTTGTCCTCGACGACTTTTCAAGGTGAGTACTTAGTTCGAGTAGTGAATTATCTTTAAACTTATCTTTGAATGTCAAAAGTATAGAAAGCATTTTCAGAATGCGATAAAAGTATTCACGACATTTCAGCAGTTTTCATTTTCGATCCCATGCAACACGAAATATTTTTTAAATATTAAAAAAATATGTTTTATAGAAGGATAAAAATATTTTAAAATAATTCGCGAAAATATTTTTAAAATGTTTCTATATTGTTAAAGCCTTTTTGTTTTTTGCAAGATTAAAAAAAACATTTTTAAATTCATTTCCCAATATTTCGTGCGATAGATGACATTTGGAGAGTGAAAAAGTTTATATAATTTTTAAAATTACAAACACTAATATACATAATACTTATCTACATTTTACATTTATTTAAATAGGATGGTTTTATTATCAGACGCGACTTAAATAATTTTAAAGTTTGAACGTTAATGCGTGTATTGTTATTCCTCGTTCTCGAAAATTGGAGAACGCCTCTACTTTCGGACCTCAAAGTTGGTGAACGACGGCTTCGAGATTTCTTTCTCGTTACGGAATTCCGTCTTGTCGATCCGGGATTGAGGGCTTCCGATGTAACGAAGCCATTGTTTCCTAAAATAAAAAAAGAGAAAGCGACCGTGATCTGGCATTCGCGATGACTTTTTCGTATTCGCGGCTTACATCTCGTCGATTTGCATCTCTGTCCCTTCCATGTGACCAACTACGGTACCGTTCGGGGTGTTCATGCACCATCCCTTCAGACCCAGCTCCTTGCCGCGTTTCTGCGTGTACTGTTATCCGCAAGTAAGACAATATGCCTAATGGTGAATTCAATTGGAAGAATTAGTGCGCATTGGTGCATATTAAAGCCATTGTACTGACTTAATTTGAATATAAAAATGAAATGCAAATATTTCGAATTATAAAACGTATATTTTATCTAATAGCACAATAAAATGTATTGATTATTTCACGATTTAATCGATTTCTATGTTTATTTATAAGCATATCTTCACGTTATTTTGTGTACAACGGCTTTAATGTGCATCAGTACGCACTGAGTGCATCCAATCGAATTCGCTATAAGTTTCCCGACGATGAAAGATATTCTCGAAAATAGATGAAATTGTATCGGTTTTGTGTTAAGAAGTTTAAGTAGAAGAACTTAAAGTTATCTATTTATGTTAAATTGTTCTATTATTTTATTTCAGACGGAATGTGTCTTGTCTTGATGGAATATCTTTGTCCTTATAAGCAGAAATTAATAATTTTCTCTCTTAATGCAATCCGAATAATAGTTTCAATATTATACTTTGGTTTTATGTTCATTTAAAAGCCAAAAACACTTAAAAAATGTGAGACAGTAAGACGTAAACAACAAGCGAATCGGTAGTAGACATCTACTTTACGTTTTCTACTATTGGTTGATTCGCTTATTGCTTAAATCTTATCTTTTTATGTGTTTCTAGTTTAAATGACCTAAGTCTAAGACTGTATTGACAAACATGATTTTTGATAAAAATTGAAATTTGTTATTTCCTGTTCCTATTATCTGCTTTTCAATTGTTTTCAAGCTTTAGAGTTTACGTCAAATAGTATTTTTTTTCAGTCTACAAATCGCAAAAAATTACTACGAATTAAAGAAGTCTCAAATTGCTTGTTAATTAGAAATTAAGATTGGAAATAAGACCGTTTTTGTTAGATATATTACTTTAAATACGAATGTCACTACGATTTGAATGTTAAAATGTTGAACTATTATTATATATATATTCATTTAAATGAATTATAATTTTTGAAATTAATTCATTAAAATGTGAATATGAATACATATAATAGTTAAATATCTTTACATTCAGACCATAGTGGCGCTTCGTATTTAAAGTAATTAGAAATTAATATATAAATAATTATATCGTTTGTATATTCATTTTTGAGCAGCTAATTTTTAATAACATTCTTTAATCATTTTTTTTTATACGAAGAAAATATTTTAATTTCGTAAAAATCTCCTAAAAATCTCTTATAAGCGTCAATATATTTTCTATAAAATTAAACTAAAAACTCAGATTTCGTCCATCGAAAGAAAAGAGCAATAAGAAATATAATCGCATTACAAATATCGATAAGAAGGATGTATGTTTATGTTTACAGTAGATAACGCGAACATTTAGATCGGTTAACATTGGACACCCGATAGATGTCGCGAATCAGAAATTTCAAGGTTCTCGCTTGAATCGCTCGTCAATCGCATTTTCGGCAGCCTCAAATAATCATCGTCGAATTCCCAGATAAACACGCGCCGATTTACTCACCTTCCTGAAGAATACACCTTTGACAAATAAAAAAATCATATATTCATTAATAAAATAATCGATGAAAAATTGAATCGACAATAATTGAAGATGAGTCGACGGATGAGTTTCGTTACCTTGCACGATGCCGAAAACTTCGAAATCCACCGCGAGCATTTTTGACATTTCCGTCTCTTCCCCTGCCGATCGAGGCAATTTTACGGGAAACGACGACGAAAACAACAGGCAGGCGAGAAAGACGAATCTAATCATTCGACGTCGAGGACTCGATCGAGACTGTCCGAACTAGATGCCGCTAGCGTGCGGCATTTATGCGCGAGAATGTACGTTCCGAAAATAAATGGTATACTTGATGGCGACGAAGTAATCTTCGCGAAAATACTAATTTGTTTCCTTGGCAAATTCAAAAGCCGAAGATTTATGAATGCTGTATGCGAAATGTATGTACATCTTTAGTAAAAATTTTTTTCAGAATTTTTTCTGTCGAAAATTCCTAATAGATCCATATAAAAAAAAATTCGTTTTTAGTAGACTGAATATATGCTTTTGAAATTGTAATTCCTCATAAGTTCAGTGAATATTCAGATCTACAAATGCAGGTACGAGTCGATACAAAACATATCCGCATTTTATACAAAGGGAGTTTATATGAAAAAAATAATATATTTTTTTTGTTTATTATGGAAATATGCATTATTATCAATTTATGTATAATAAAATTTGTAATTTTTAGCAATAGGTAGGTGAAAAACTAAAATAAAGTTTAATGATATTTGAAATTTGGGAAAACAATTTTGATTGGCTAATGAGTGCGTGACGTCACACTACAAATCTGCAATCTGCAACCATCTGTTGGAAAGTTAAAACGAAATCTTAAAATTTTTTTCTTAAAAATCTCTTTATAAATTAAGAATATTAAAATAAAATGCCAAACCGACTGGATTCAGGATTCATTAAAGTCGACTTCAACTTTTATTTAGGTTTAGGAGTAAATATTGTTAGTGATAAGTGATATAAATGTT